CCATTCACTGAGCTATTTACATGTTCAGAAATTACTTTGTCATAGGGAATACCCTGTACTTTTAGAGTTGGAAGATATACTAGCTTTCTTTTAATTCTAAAATAAGAACTGTTTATTACAACTATCAAGAATATCAACTACTGCTAGAACTGACATAAGTTTAGACACAAATCCTTGAATTGCTTTTTCTCTTATTTTCCCTATCTTCAGCTATTTTCCTTTCTCTCTAAGCACTATTTCCAAAGAGTGAAGCAGCATGAAGTATGGGTGTAACATTAATTTAAAAAACCCACCCTGATCATTTTACCACTCCTCAAAGAATGACAACCATTAATAAAAATCAGTTTTCCTGTTGAACAAAGCTTTTACAGAAGTGGAAGGGCACACTTTCATGTACAGCCACCATCCCACATTACACCTGTATCACACAAGAACTTTTGACAGAGTTACAAGACCCGCGGTCTCCCCAGCAGGCTAAGCCTGGTGGCTAATCCTGCTAACCACAAAAGTACCAGTGGTTGGAGGGGCCAAGGCTTGTCCAACCAGAACTGCCAACAAGCCCAGCTGGAATCCAAAGCAGGACAAGGGGCACCAAGCCCTGCCTGGCATGCCCTTGCCCAGTGCCACCTCATGGCACCACCAGCCACTGGCAGACTCCCTCTTTCCTCTGCTCTCCAAAGCTCCTCTGTGTGCTTCACGGGCTTCTGTCTGTACTGTGTGTCCATCTGCCTTGGCAACAAAGGTTTTAGAGCTCAACAGGAAGAGCAGGAACCTCAGCTACTACTGACATACAGGAGTATGTTAATGGATCATGCAGAATACCTGCTGTTGCCTCGATAATTACATTCATGACAAGAACTTATTGGCTGCCATTTGACAGCCTGACCATTTTCTGCACAAAAATGCATTTGAAATTAAGTTGTTGAAAATGGACCTTACCTTCTATCTCTTCCATTTTCCTCTACCACACTTCTGAAGATTGTCACATACTTGTCAAAGTAGGTGAGCCTCTCCTATTTGGCAGAATCAGATTAGCAGGTCTTCTAATCAAAAAAAGAAACACATAATTAGTTCAGTCCTAAGTGCTAAAAAGTATTGCCATATCCTGAAAAGGGCAAGCTCTCCATTGCAGACATTAAGTACATAGGCTATTAGGAGTATTAATATTTTGCAGACCTGGAGGACTCAATCTCTGACTCATTGTGTTTGGACACCTCATAGCAAAAACTTTTTCTCCTGTGAAAGAAAGGCTCCTAAGGATGCACAATTAACTCAGTTCCATTCCTGACAGCAGAGTGCATCACAGCAGTTGTTGCTTCTCTCTCTCTCTGTAAAATTGCCCTGGTATAGCATCAAAAACAACTGTCATTTCAAAGCACAAGGACTATCAATTCAGCAGATAGCAGGACAAGCAAGAGCAGACTGTACACAAGTACTTTTATCTGTTTAACTACTTATATATTTATTTTGATCTTTGGAGAGAAACCTCTCTAATTTTTCAAAATTCCCAATGTAGGTAGGTCTCCTTTTCAAGCTGAGTGTTAGAAATGTGATCAACTGGTCACACTAAACCCCACTTTACCCTTACATTCAATTTAAACTGGTACCATAATCAAATATAAAGGTTTGTATACTCATATATGTTATATATTTTCTAGGATATTTTCTGAAATCTTGAAGATCCTGAGTATTATTTCTCTTCCTGAGCCATGGGCTCTTTTAGATTCAATAATAAATTCCTTTTTATTGCCAAACAGTCATCCTGAGCTATTTTTCCTTCATCTACAGCCTCTAGAACAAAGGAAGAGGTAGAAGTCCTGGTGCAGTCATCCCTGTTCTTTACACAGACCCAAAATCTTCTCTATCTCCTTGATATTACAGCGGCTTTCCAAACCCGCCTGTTCTGCACTGGAGGACAAATGAAGTACATCACCTTCTCCGCATTCCTCCTCTCAAACTAAATAATTGTCACATCTCTGGGCTTTGGGATAAAAGCACAAAATTTTAAAAGTCATCTCATTTCACCTTAAAGTCCCTTCCCAAATATAATTATAAATTTCTAAGCCAAACACCAGGGAGACATTTTTAACTTTAATTTACTGTGGGTCCATCAACTTTGACCACACTTGAAGGTACATTTTCTCCCCATTAGTTCTGTCTAGTCAAAGAAGCTCACGTAGCGATGACGCATCTCTTGCAGATAAGGGTATCTGCTGATTTGATTTACTAAGGAAGCTAAATTTATTATGCAACATTTTACAAGTATAATTCTGCTTTCTCTTGATGGTAATAAATTCGATATCAACTCCCACGAGACAAGAGAACCAGTCCTTTTATTATCCAGACATGACCCCCAGAGCCAGATTCCATTTTAGAGACGGGAAATGACCATATCTCTGATTAAAAGGGAAACTTTAATCAAATAAAGTGCCTCATCAAGCGAGAGCCAAGATTCCAATACTCCTGACTGCAGCACAGCAACGATCCAAAGTCATATCTGCCCCCAACCCATTACCGCCTACTGCAACGTGATATCCATCCCAAACAGGAGGGGCATCCTTCAGCCATTTCCTCATCATCTGGGTAGCTGCTCCTCCCATGCTCACAATCCTCCGCAGAAACGTTCTCAAGAGGCTACCCCAGGGTCTGTTTGAGGAATCAGAGGAGGATGGACTTTGTTCTGTTTAGTTTGATTTTTTCCCAACTAAATCAGTCTCACAGGTGACAATTGACTTGACTCCGTGCAGCAAAGTGCAGCAGCCTTGGATTTTAGCTCAGTACCCTTCCAGTTAGACTCTTCCATTCGTTCGGACACTTTCCTTCTACGCCCTGAAATTACCTTTTGAAGCATTTAGGATAATTCTTATTTAGAGTCCCAAGTCAAGAGCTTTATCCCGATTGTCAGTGGTTCATTTCTGCAGTTTTACAGTGGATATAGTAAATTAATAACAACAGTAACAATGACAATATAGATATCTAGGACTATTGTTATTTTAAATATTCTCTAAGGTTCCACTTCTGTGTAAGCACAATTAGATCTGTATGCTACTCCATGCAGGGATCTATCTTTAAGTGTTTCTGGCCATCTAGAATGTTTTCCCGCAACAGAGCAAGATACAGCAACTGACAGATAAATCATCTCCCTTTCAGCTCTGGAAGCCCGGCTACGCAAGCAAATGAAGTTGCCCAAACTCCACATCCACTCAGGAACGGCCCGGCTGAGAGATGGGATTAGTTCATACAGCCCTCTGCAGCGATCTTCCTTGGATCAGCCCACACGTCATTTCTGCTACAGGAGTACAGATGTGCTGCTTTGTGCTGAGGAGTACCTCTCAGTACCAAAGCCTCTGCACCGGGTCAGGCCCCTTGCTCCGCAGCTCTTCCAGTGCCGCACTGGCCCGGCACAATGCGAGCAGTGTAACACAGCAGCACTTGAGGATTATTTCCCTGGCGTTTGTCTGAGTGTCACAAACACGCTCGCACGCAGGAAGACTGTTACTGTATTGCTCTCTGATTTCCAATGAAGTTTCCGTGGTCTCACGCCTGCCCTGAGGTGGGGGGCTCAGCCCAGCCCTGCCAGCCCCGTTCCCATTAGCCCAAGTCTCCCCGAGCGCCCCTACACCCTGCTCTGGCCGGCTACACCGTCGAGGGCGGATCCGCGCCGCGTGTTGGAGAACAGCCCCGAGCAGCTCTCTGGTTAGACGGCGGCAGCGCA